TTTCCACGCAATAATAAGGCACCTCTATAAAATATCTTTGATGATAGTCCAACGGTTGTAAATTTCTCTATGTCCACAATATATTTATCCTTAAAAATAATAGTTCCAAATTTAAGACCAGAGGGTACTAACGAATTACCAGCTGCTACATTTGAATTATTGCTAGACAAGTCTCCATGAACATCTTGAGGAGCTATGGACTCATCACCTACCACGGAGGCTGCTTATTTGGCGTGCCATGTCAAATCTATTCGCTAAACGAAGGGGTATGGACCTACGGTGAACCGGTTAAAAAGTTTAGGGACCCAAAAATGCAATTTGAAAGTTGATGGACCTGGATGACACACCACCAAAAGTTAATGGACCCAAAAATACAGTTTGAAAGTTGATGGACCTGGATGACATACCACCAAAAGTTAATGGACCAAAAAATGCAGTTTGAAAGTTGATGAACCTAGATGACACACCACCAAAAGTTAATGGACCTACGGTGCATTTAACTCTATCATTTTTAAGCTTTAGCATACCTTTCCCTGGGCAAATTTGTAATTGCAAAGTCCTGTCCTGAGCTCATACTTTTCTCTTAAAAATTTACTTGACTAAGTTCCTTAAAAAGAATATAATGTCTGATTGCTTCAAGATGTTTAAAACCTTATATAAATATAACAAAGCAAAAGAAAAAAAAGCATATGGGTCTGGTTATTTGGATGGGAAAATTGCAAACTGGTTGATAACAATGTCCAAATACTTGAAGCAATAAATTTAATGATGGGAAAATTGCCTGGTCATCAGACTTATTGTGGCCGAGGTGATGTCTAGTTTTGGAATTAATAATTTGAAAAGAGGCTAATACAAGTGATTTGCCTAAGTGCCACATAAATCAAAATAAACTAGAAAAAAAGAACCACATGAATCACTTACTGACAGAATGAGTCCAAACATCAATTTTCACGTTATTCCAACCAACAAGATGAAGATCTGGATGGTGACCTGGAAAAGGCATATCTGTTTGAACATACTGTGCTCACATTGTTATAAAAGAAACTTTCGCACCAGTTTGTTGGATTCTATGTGGATAGCAAAATTTACGACCAGTTTTAGGATGTTTTCACCAAACATGAAACTTTCACAGCATGCTATACATAATTGTGTGTAACTATGCAACTAGAGTAAACACCATGCACAGTACATAGATGCAAAGTAGCTCGGTTCTGACATCTTGTATTTATGAGGGAATAGCTATCTCATGAAATGTTTCAGTTTCCTTCATAGGAGTTCTAGAATAATTCCCCAAATTTTACTGGAGTAGGGTTCGTGGCTCTCCTGTCCATTATGTTGTTCAGATAACAGTCATAGGAGAACAGACAGTTAGTGAACTACATTCTACAGATAAAACGGTTGGAGTAGCACTTTCTTGGATTGATTCTAATTTTTAGACAATATAGGTGAAAGAGTTGACTATTGGCCAAAGAAATAAAGACAAGAGGTAATATGAAGAAAAGAAAGGACCTTCTTCCTCAGCGATAGCAGCAACAAGCTGAAAGAACTCAAGTCCTTTAACAAAGTTCTTCACCTTCCATGCTCTATGTAATTTCAGAATACCACCTTCAGTGATCAGTTCCCAACCATTCACCTATTTTCAGGTATCAGCCAATGCAGTAGGAATTAGGATGATCTTAATAAAAAAATTTCACTGCAAAAATATACAAGATCAAGACCTGTTCAAGCATCTTTTTAGCAGAATCTTCTGACATGGGACGTAAATCCTTAGAGTTGCATGGAACACAGCTTTTCATTGCTAATTCTGAAATAACAAAAATGCATAGAATTATTTAAAGAGTGTGAGGTGTAGACATACCAGCAAAGAGTTAAAAAAAATTCTGGTCACAGTCAGAAGAATATGATCCTAAGTTTCTAACATAAATTTTTTGTCTTATGAAGAATAAAATATCGTGACTTCGGGAGCATAAAAGCTTTGCACCATATGTAATTAATGCATCACTATTTGTTCACCATGGTCATAAGAAGGTACCCTAACTATAACTCAGGAAGTACGATCATACTTGCACGTTTATGATGTGCTTATTATTGTCTTGCCTCTTTCACATTTCAAAATAATTCATATGTGAAGGATTACTTCAACTGAAAATAAAATCACCAAAAAGATAGATATCATGACAAATATAGAATGGTGTGACTTTTCCATGTCTTACAATGTCATCAGTGATAGATAAGATGCTCACACAACAACATTAATATGTATAAAATTGATGGAAGCATTAATGTATGCATCAAATCTGTGTGAGATGAATTTCAGTCAGTAAGAGGCAACTTTATAAAAACCAATGTATATGAAGATGACCTTGACTCTCAGGGGAGCTATGGCACCCTCTTGCAGTCAAAGTTTTATTTTCGCCTTGCCCTCTAGTGTCCATCTTCTGATAGAAAGGGCTGCATAAATAGCGATGTCTCATGTCTGCATTGAGTGACAAAATATAAAAAGCACACACAGGATATGAAATAATACCATTTATCAGGGAGCTTGAAACATAAGAGTCATAGGCTTCAAGGTGATTTGGTGGATAATCATGAGTTCAGAAAACCATAAGCACAGCTTTACAAACTTGGTTTGCTAGGTCAAATTTTACAATGTTTTCACATCTAGCCATGCATATAACAGGCATGAAAAGGGCGCTTTTTGATTGAATAAAAATGTTTGCAAGGCTGTGTCTAATACCCCATCGCATTTCTTCAGTAGCATATCAAGCAGTGTAGAGTACTTAAAATACCAAGTGTAACAACTCTTTGGTTCACTAAATAGATCGTTGTACACAAAAGGTACAAATCCCCAATTCCACATGAAAAATCAATTCTCAATCCTTTCTTGAGTGGGTTCTTTCAACTTTTTTTCCTCGAAAGACCATTCTTTCAAGTTCATAATCTGACTATAGAACACAAATATTATATGTTCCTGGGACATGAGCCAAATGGCATTGAACTAAATATAATAAAGTTTCATACAAAAAATGGTTCCTATGATAACACTTTCTAGAATTAACACAGCCTTCGCTAAAGTTCTTGCACCGGCATAGCAATAGCCACTCGTAGGGCACGCAGGCGCACGCATATGCTGCGATGATGCTCAGAAAGTTGTAGGTAAAACGACTAAACGAGGATATACCATACAGATCCAAAATGCGAAGGCTTCCTGCGGACGAGAGGCCAGCGAGAAGCTGCCTTTACCTGCACGGCCAAGAGAGAGAGGTACATCAGTAGTGCACGGGGGGTGTTTGATGATATGCTTACACGGAGATTGGAGGAATCAACTCATGCGCACCTGGCCTACGTAGGAGCGCGATAGGAGGAGACGCGCGTGCACCGTTGAGGCCCGGAGCATCGGTGGCTGTGGCTCCCGCGGCTTCGCCGGAGCCGGATCCGGAGAGGGAAAGCGGAGTACGTTTTGCGTGGCGCCTGACAAGTGAGAAGACAGACGAGAGGGACGGCAGGACGGGCTGACGTCTGACGATTGGACGGACCGATGGAAACAGATCTGTGATTTAGGGCCTGTTTGATTGAGATCTGGCCTGCCAGGCAACACAGGGTGGCCTTATATGATCCAAACGGGGCCTAGTTTGCTTGCGTCGGATTGGGCTGCATGGAGCGTCGCTGGGCCGGCGTGTGCCGTCTGCATCTGATAGACGCACCAATGCAGTCGTACATCCGTTTGTGACTTACTCCTTCCGTGTGAGTCGCTACGAGAATCGCTGGTTAAACTTTCTCAGCTTTGATTAGATTTATAAAAAATACGTGTAATATTTACATCTTTAAATAAGTTTATTATAAAAATATATTCAACGATCTATCTAATGATACTAATTATGTACCATAAATATTAATATTTTGTTAAATATATTTGGTCAAAGTTAAAAATTACTGATTTTTTTGAAGCGAGAATGACTCTTTTTTTTAAAGTAAGTTTACACCGAGAATTGTCAGCAGCCGACTAGCACACACGAACGCCCTGACTCTTGTTTATTTTTTACACCACCCACTCCCACAGTTGTCCCGGAGAGGACAAACAAACTTGTTGGTAGAACTTTGTATCTTTTCAGTACAAATACGTAGGGCACGATGAAGTCTTCACTTGTCATGCTTCGGGGTTTCTGAACCGTATGACACACTCTAGCATCTGTGTTTTAGTGTTTTTTTGTTTCAGTCGGGAAGTTTAGACAAAAACAGTTTGTTGTTTGCATTCACTTTCCACGCATTGCGTGCCAGTATCAATCTTCCTCCCCCGCGCATCGGCGCATAGCAAACTGCTATACTCCTAGCTGGCTAGCTAGTACTTTGAGCTCATAGAAACTGGTGCTCTATCTCAATCAAACGGCTGGACCCAAAGATCACACGGCTAGAAGAAGCCTAAGCTCAGTTCTTCCGCTCCAACCACGTCACCATAATTTCTTTTAGAATATAAATATACACCAGTGTCCACGTCACTATAAAGTTGACCCACGTAGACGCCTGACTCCACTCTGCTCTCGCGATCCCCGTTCCTTCGAGCCCCCACCGAGCACCAGCAGTGCAGCACGCCAGCACGGGAGGTGGGTGGTTGCTCCTGCTCAGGTGAGTGCAGAGTTCTTCGCTTCGGAATTTGGGTTGGGCTTCACGGAATCGCAGGGTGATTCGAATCGAACAGACTTTAGCACTCGTGCTATCGATCTCGGTCAGTTTTGGTGGGTTTTGCGGCGGCGTTGGATTCAATCAAACCGAACCGCAATTCCGCCATTTTCAGTTAGTTTCTCTCGCAGTTTAGCTTTGGTGTTTCTGTTTTTTTGTTAGTGATCCAGTATCCAAAAATCTGCCCAAACTGGTGATCGGTTCGATCGTCTGTTGAGATTTTTCCTAAACCCTCCCGACTCGCTTTCGCCTTGATCACCAATTTTGCATTAATCGCTTCCTCATCTTAATTCGTCTTCCGATTGGCGGCTCGCCGTGCAGCCATGGGAACCGGCCGCGTCGCGCTCCTCCTCCTCCTCCTCTCCGCCGCGCTGATGCAGGCTCTCCTCCCCGCGCCTGCAGAGGGCTTGGTCCGCATCCCGCTGAAGAAGCGGCCCGCCGACAAAAATGGCCGCCTCCAGTTCCATGACGAGCGGCGCCGTGTCTTCCTCGGCAGCAACGCCGCCGCGGTGGCCTCGGAGAAAGCTGAGGCGGAGGCGGAGGGGGAGGGGGACATCGTGGCGCTGAAGAACTACCTCAACGCGCAGTACTACGGCGAGGTCGGCATCGGCACGCCGCTGCAGAAGTTCACCGTCATCTTCGACACCGGCAGCTCCAACCTCTGGGTGCCCTCCTCCAAGTGCTATTTCTCGGTGTGCATCGTGCACGGTGTTGGGTTCTGTGGTTGAGACTGTTTTACTAACTGTGTAGTTGTGTGTGTGGCTCTGAACTGAAGAGTGCCTTTTGGGTTTTTTTGCTGCAGATCGCTTGCTACTTCCATGCGAGGTATAAGGCCAGCCAGTCGAACACCTATAAGAAGAATGGTTTGTGATTTCGGCCTTCCTTGTGCTTCGTGGAGATTACTGTGTATTTCTAATATTTATATGATCTATCAGTACTCTTTCAACGCCTCATGTAGGTTTAGTGGCTGTTTTGAGTACTACTCTGTTCCAAATTAGAGTTCATTAGGCTTTGTTCTAAGTCAAACTTGTCTACTTTTACCATGTTTTTAGAAAAATAAATTGATGTCTCCACGTTTTCAAAAAAATTCTCTATCAAAATATATTGCATGAAGAATCTAACGAAACAAATTTTATGTTCTAAATGTTGGTAGAGTTTTCTACAAACTTGGTCAAAGTTAAAAGAAGTCCGACTTAGAACAAAGTCAAAATGAACTTTGATTTAGAACGAAGGGAGCAGTTAATTTGGCACAGCTACTTCAGAAATTTTAGCTAGATACTGATGTACATAGAGTATTTTTTAAAGACATATTAGCTTAGATGTTTTTTTCTTTGGAAGCTAGAAATCGTAGTGTTTGTGTAGAACTAAGACTTACTTGTTGATATCGAGAAGCTGAAAATTTTGAAATATAAGAATTATGTATGCTTATTTAAATATATGTCACATTCAAAAGTAGACACCCCTTTCCAGATAATTGGTATTATATGCCTTGGTATGATTGAATGTCTACTCTCTGAGTCCATACTCATAACACGGGCATCGTTTCAAGGTAGGCATGAACTTCACCAGCAGGTGGCAGGTGCGACGCAATGTGGAGGTAGGGTGGTGCACTGGCCACTGGCGTAAGCAAGAAAAAAAGATTTAATATTAAGTAGCTCATTTTGACCACATGAATCGGTTAAAATCAGCAATATTCCTTCAAAATGGATACTTCGACTATTTGTACGTGAATGATGTGCACCACTATGGATTTTTCATGCTAGCTTCACCCTTGTTCACCAGTAAGCAGCTTGCTGTCCATTTGCTGTTGGAGAAATAATAGCCCATACTTTTTCGGGGACATCAAAGATTCAACTCAAGTTTGTTCCAGTTATCCTTGAGGGATAAACAAATATTGCATGGCTTTATGCTATTAAGCCACAGTAAGATGTTTGGTTAATGCGATTGTAATTCATCACTGCGCCATCTTGCAGGGAAATCTGCTTCAATACATTATGGTACTGGTGCAATTTCTGGCTATTTCAGCCAGGACAGCGTGAAAATTGGTGATGTTATTGTGAAAAAACAGGTTTATTTGTGTCACCATGTATACACTTGTTTTATGTTATCTGGTCATGTACATCCTTTTTTAGAATATATGCTGATTTTGTTGCATTGTTCTGTTAGGATTTTATTGAAGCTACGAGGGAACCAAGCCTTACTTTCATGGTTGCAAAATTCGACGGCATTCTTGGGCTTGGATTCAAGGAACTCTCAGTTGGAAATGCTGTACCTGTATGGTGAGCAAGTAAATATATATGTAATGTCTGTCTGTTTGGTAATATCTAAATTGATATGAATGCACCCTTTGTGCATACCTTATGGTTATTAGATCCAAATAGTGTCACTCCTTTTTTTCTAACGAATTGTATTGAAAATCTGGTAACGATTACATCTTGTATATTCTGCACATCTCCCAATTTGTAGGTACAACATGGTTAACCAAGGTCTTGTTGATGATTCTGTTTTCTCATTCTGGTTCAATCGACATGCTGATGAAGGGCAGGGAGGTGAAATTGTGTTTGGAGGAATTGATCCTAGCCACCATAAGGGAAATCATACATATGTCCCTGTCACTAGGAAGGGATACTGGCAGGTTAACATCCGCTTCTAGTTTATTGTGCAACTATTAAACTTTGAACATATGCACTGGTAACTAACTAGAAAGAGAAATACTTTTTGCTGACAACTTTGACCCATGAATTGATCTCTCATTTGCTTCCTACAGTTTGATATGGGTGATGTCCTGATTGGAGGGAAGTCCACAGGTGCGTTTATCATTGCTTTCATTTAAAATATACCTGTATTAAACGCAGAATTTTTTACTTAATCTGTAATGCCTCTCTGTTTCATTAGAATTCTGTGCTGCTGGCTGTGCAGCAATAGCAGATTCTGGAACTTCGTTGCTTGCTGGTCCCAAGGTGTGTTGTGGACTTTGTTTGGTTTTGTTCTTACTTCTTAGAAAGGAAAATGGGTCTATTACATCTCATCCTGGGGAACTATTAACTTATAATTGCTTTATTTAATGAATCCTGATACCTATGGAAATGAATATGATTTCACATTTGTTATATTAAGGAAGTGAGCCTAGTCAACTGGTTAGGGTGGGAGGTGTGCATCTCAACCACCCAGGTCCGAGTCCTCTACAACCGAATTTGGTTGTTTACTTTCTTTTTACAGCATGTTCGCTTGTTGGTTTCAGCCAGCCCAAACCAGCCAGCCAACAGTGTTTTCCTCTCACAATAAATCAGCACCAGCCAGCTCAAACCAGCCCAGAAGCCAACCAGCGAATAGGCCGTTAATGAGAAACACCTAGTTCCTCCGGTAGACTTGCTCCGTCGCGGGTGAGGGTGAGCGCGCGAGAGGTGAGGAGAACGGGAACCGGTGCTAAGGCAAGCCTGGCTCCCAGAAAACGACCACACCCTGCGTTTTTCTGGAGCCTGGCTAAGGGGTGGTGGGTGGCTTCCTGGCTGACTTGGACCTCTAAACAGGCAACCAAACAGCCTGAAGGTGGCTCCGTGGAGCCTGGTTGGGGCTTAGCCACCCAACCAAACGGACCCATGATAGCCAAAGTGGCCAAGTGATTTGCAGAAGTTTGACTACTATGGGCCTGTTCGCTGGTTGGTGCTGGTGCTGGTTTGGACTGGCTGGTGCTGGTTTTTTGTGAGAGAAAAACACTGTTGGCTGGCTGGTTTGGGCTGGTTGAAACCAACAAGCGAACAGGCTGTATGTTTTCTGCTTAAAGGCGCCTTTTTAGCACATAACGTGTGCACTGCAACAGTACAAGAGGTTGATTTTTTACTTAGTGCTTCTCGGTTTTTACAGTGTCATACTAATGAGCTAATGCGACAATAATATGTAAAATGTCTATACTATGATTGATATTTCTATCCTAGTGGGTCCATTGCATTTTAAAAAAAAAATTATTCTCTCTGTGTTTAGTGAATTATGTGGATATGCAGGCCATAATTACTCAGATAAATGAAAAGATCGGTGCTGCTGGGATAGTCAGCCAAGAATGAAAGACAGTTGTTTCTCAATATGGGGAAAAGATCCTAGATCAGCTATTAGCAGAGGTTCGCACATTTATAAAGCATGCAATTCTCAAGCTTGTGTCATAGTTTTATAGTTTTATTATTACTATTCATAAAATAGGCATGTTGAAAGGATGCTAAATTTTCTCTCGGCTAATGATGCAGACACAGCCAGCAAAAATATGTTCTTCGGTTGGTCTATGTACTTTTGATGGAACTCATGGTGTTAGGTAAAAGTAATATTTACTTGAATTTGAGCGCTGCATGATGATCAAATATCATAGAAAGGGTGAACTGCATGGATTTACTGTTCCATCTATTTGTGTGCTCTCTCACATTGTGTGTCTGTGTCCTTGATATCTGAGATGTGACTTATAGATGCTTTGTGCGGTTGTACCCAACAATGCAGTGCTGGTATCCGAAGTGTGGTAGATGATGAAGCTGGGAAATCAAATGGTCTCTTCAATGATGCAATGTGCAATGCCTGTGAAACAGCTGTTGTATGGATGCAGAGCCAACTTGCACAGAACCAAACTCAGGATCTAGTGTTGCAGTACATTAATCAGGTTAGTTTCGTAGCTTGTAATACAAATGGAAGAATCAAACTTAGTACAATTCTTTTAATGTTGCAAGCTTAATTCTTCAAATGTTGCAAAACTGGTTCAACTTTGCAGCTATGTGAACGGATTCCTAGCCCTATGGGCGAATCATCTGTGGACTGCAGCCGACTTGCATCCATGCCTGACATTGCCTTCACCATTGGGGGCAGAAAGTTTGTGCTCAAACCAGAACAAGTACTGCTTCTTCGCTGCTGCTGTTACCTTGTTTCTGTGTGGAAATTCCATCCAGATTACTTATCAAGCTTAGCAAGCATACATTTTTGTTGAGTAAATTTCTCAAAACTATATACAATTGTCAGAATATCTTCTTCCCACTATATCCTGCAAGTATCACCTTTGAGTTAATGAGAACACTAGAGGCCTTGCTTTATTCATGGATCGGAGGTCCTGCAAGTATCAATACAACAGCATTCAAATTGTTATATTATGCTACTCTGTTTGGATTTTCAGAAGACTAATTTAATTTCCTCCTTTCATTTGTGTTGTTCAGTATATCCTGGAGGTTGGTGAGGGAGCTGCTACCCAGTGCATTAGTGGTTTTACAGCTATGGACATTCCTCCTCCCCGTGGCCCTCTCTGGTAAGTGGTAAATTATTCTCCTTCTGCGGTTCTTACAGCCTTTCCCATCCAAAATAAATACGGGAGCCATCATCCAGCTTTCTTGTTTTTACATCATCTCTCATGTAACCAATGCATAGTTGTTAAGCTTTTCCAGATTTTAAGCATTAATTAAGATGGCCCGGCTCTATCCTTCGTGGAAATTTCTCCCCCAATCTTTGTTGTGTTTACTGATCGTCCTTGTTTCTAAAATCCTGAAAGAAAAACGAATTAATGTTCCTCAGTCTGAAAGTGACAATTTGGTGACACAGGATCTTGGGTGATGTATTCATGGGAGCCTACCACACAGTCTTTGACTACGGCAACCTGAAAGTTGGCTTCGCAGAGGCCGCATAAGATGGCCCCCATGACGATCGAACTATGTCATCGTCATACAAGCATGTATGTGTATATTTACATGCTCAATAATGTTTATGTGATCTGAAGTAATACCTGTTTCAGCAGGCTAATATATTTGTCAAGGCAGTGTTTCAAGCTAATTTCGTGGCTGTTGTCGACTTGTGATGTTTGTGCTTGCCTCTAGACTCTAGTCTCTAGTATTGATGTATATATGCTTTGGTTGCCTGGAACACTGGATAACCGCATACGTGCATTGCATGCCTGTTAGGTTCCCACCGTCCGTCGTGATGCAGAAGTAGGAACCAACAACTAGCAAACAAATGCTGGCAAGAAGATAACTGGTCCAGTACTTTTAGTATGAAGTTACTTTTCTCTGATGCTCAGCAAGGAACCAGATGACAGCAGCTTACAAGGAAATTGAGTGATCACTGATCAGCACTCAGTAGTTCATACGGAGCAACTAAGGTGGATCAGAAATAGAAGGAACTATTTGGGAAAAAAAAGGGTTCTCTCCATACATATAAGAAGTTGTAACCTTACTAGCAGAGGCTGCTTCTTCCACAGCCTTGCACGTAGCTTCGCTCCTCTCGTGATCCACAAGAACACTTAAAAGCATGCCCTCTAATAATAAGACACGGAGGACGACGCCACATACATACTAACTCCTTGGCTCCCGGATGAATCTTCAAATATTTCTCGAGGAGACATCGATGCCCACATACTCTTCAACTAAATTGCCACACCCGTATTACGACCCCAAACGCACGAAAAAGACGCATTCTTGGTACGAAACACCCCGATCTGCAGACTGCAGCCCATCACTTTCAGTTGCCGCCCTTGCCCGCTGGACCTTGCGCGCGCGCACGAACGCCCTGGCGAGCCCCTGCAGCCTCCGGCTCTGCGTCGTGATGACTCCGGTGGTGGACGTCGCCTGCCGGAGCACGACCTCGTAGCCGTCCCCGTAGGAGTCCATCCCCTCAGTCAGGAGCTGCCAGAAGAGCGCGCCCGCCGCGGGGCCGCCGGCGCGCGCCGAGTTGTTGACCTTGGCGTACACCGTGCCGAACACCGCGTCGCGCTGGTCGTCGCCGCTGTAGCCCGGGTCCCTGCGCGACTTGCCGAACTCGGCCACCAGCAGCGGCTTCCGCAGCACCGCCTGCGCGTCGGCGATGTGGGCGTCGAGCCAGGCGCCCAGGAACCGTAGCTGCGACGGGGCGTCCAGGCTGGGCAGCCACTGGTCCGGGTACGAGTGCACGGTGGCGAAGTCGATCCCGGGCGCCTGGTTGTTGGCGATGAAGTCGGTGCCCACCTGGTACCCCGACGGGTTCACGGAGCTGCGGCGGGACGGTGACGAGGAGGCGCCGTAGAAGCCCTCCAGGCCGGCCTCCAGCAGGTGGTTGCCGTCGATGGACTTCACGTGCGCTGCCATCTCCGTGATCCACGACTGGATGGTGTGGCCGGACTCGTCGGACTGGCAACGCGGCTCGTTCATCAGCTCCCACGCCATGATCGTTGGGTCGTCGTTGTACGCCACGCCGGTGATCGTGTTCACCCTCGTCAGAACGGCCTTTTGATCTATTCATGAAAAAAAAAGAGGCGGATTTTGTCAGAAGCGTGCTCGAACTAGAATTGAAGTGATATAACTAGTACTAGTATACAGTACAGTACTGGCCATGTTTGGGCTTAAAGATTAGCCCTCCCCTTTAGCTACTTTTTAGTTCTGGGTGATACAAGAGGACTAAAAGAAGAGGGCTAATATTTAGCCCTCCATTAGCTCATTAGCCTTACAAGGTAGACTGGGGCTAAAAGTGCTAACAGGTGATTTAGGTCCTGTTTGGATCCTATAGAAAAACTTTAGCCCTGCACTTTTAGCCTTTTTTTTTTGCATGGGGTTCCAAACATGGGGGCTAAAAGTGAGCAAATGGCTAAAAACTGGACTAAAATCTTTTTCTCCCAAAGAGACCCTAAACTGGGCTAAACTCTCTCGGGACGGGCGCTGGACGCCTCATACCCTTGCCGCTCGCCAGTCACCCACGCACTCCCCACTCGCAACCCTATCCGCTCGCCCGCAACACCATCGCTCTTGCCCGCAACGCCCCCGCACCGCCGCGCTCGTCTGAGCGCCCAGCGTCGACGACCGCTGCTCTCGCCCCAGCGCCTAGCACCGCCGTAGATGGATGGGTTCTGCGGTGATGGCACCAGGGATTTATTTCGCCTGTGCATGCATGGCGACCAGCACGAACAACAGAGAGTTCCTAGCCGGCGACCAACACGAACAGTAGACGCGCCGGCGAGCAGCAGCCCAGCGCCTAGCGGAGCTATCACGCCGGCGAGCAGTAGCCCATCACCCAGCAGGCCAGCGTGCATGGTTGTGCATGGCTAATTAAATGAGGGCAAATCAATCATCGTAGATTAGAGAACTAAAGTTTAGCCCATGAATCCAAACAGCTCAGCAGAACTAAACTAAACTTTACGGACTAAACTTTAGTGAACCAGTTATCTAAACAATATATTTTTCTCTTTCCTCGCCTCTTTTACCTTTTAAGCATCTTTTAGCCGTGTATCCAAACGGCCCAAGACGCTAAAGCCTAAAGTATGCGGTCCTAGTTCCAGAACAAAGCATTTTTTGACTGATTGTCTGATGCAGAGCAACAAGAACCAAAGTTTGTGCAACTTTTTTTTTGGCCTTTATCTGCTCGCCTTTTGCTGCCTGTTTTCCATGAAGTGCAAACAGTGCGCAGAGTCTTCACCGAAGCTTCACGGTGCTCTGACAATAATAAGTTACTGTTGCTGGGCTGCTGCTACAGGAACTACAGAGTGAAGGTCCTCTATTGTGGCTGTAGGTTTGGAGTATGTTGCAGGCGCATGGTTCCCTGACAAAACCACTCTATCCTTTATTGTGACCTCGAGCATACCAGCTTGCATCTCCTCAAGGTTAAATATTTTGCCGGTGATTCGGCAGATCAAAACGAGGAAAATGCTAATGCCACACATTTATGAATTTTTATTTCCTTGGCCAAAACAAGAAAGTATTCTCTTTTAAAAAACCAATATGAAGGCAAAGATTTCGGTTCAACCAAAAGAATCAACAAGAAATGTATAATTTGCTTAAAAAATGCTTCAAAAAAAAACAAGGAATATACAATAGCCAGCTGAACCTTCTAACTAATGGAAGATACCAGCTTAAAAGAAGAGGGAACCGTTAAGCAGGGTGAAATTCCTCACAAAAGAAAAGGAACACGGGCCATGCAACTGTCCTTGGTCAAATAACAGCCAAAGGAACTTACTCCCTCCGTCCCCAAAAGCTTCTTTCAAGGAGGCAAACAATTTTAAGGTTAATCAAATCTGTATAAAAGTTAATAACCTTTTTTATCATGCCAAAATCATTAGACTAATTATAGAATATATTTTCATATTAAACTTATTTAGAAACAAATCTTAATACTATTTTTTATAAACTTAGTCAAAGTTTAGAAAATTTGACTTTGTTCAAGTTTAGAATTACACTTTTTTAAGATGTTAGGAGTATCATCTTTTGAAACAGGTAAGACTCTCCTACTGACTTAGAAATGAGCTTCAACTAACGAAAAGGTGCAAGCTACTATGGTTTCTAATGAAACAAAATTACTATGTTCACAGCACTCTCTCTCACCTTGATATGGTTCTTGTAGATGCCCTTGGCAACAGGGTTAGTGAAGAATTCATCGTCAGAGCCAATGGCCTGCCCCTGCTCCCTCGCCCACTGCACGTACTGCTTCCTCCCTCCAAAGCTATCATAATTGTTCACAAGGCTCAGAATCATCTTAATCCCATACTTCCTAGCCTCAGATAGCACGAAATCCAACCCCTGAATGAAGAGTAAAACATGGCAATGCATCAGCTCACAAACAACGCAGATAAAGAGTCGGCGTTAGCACAACTGCACAAGGGAAAGAAGTGACTGGTGTGGCTGTAAGGACCTGGAAGGTGTTCTCGTTGTAGCGGCCGGGAGAGTACTGCAGTGCACTGCTGCTGCCACCGCCGTCGCTGAACGCCCACGTCCTGGCCACGGAGAGGCCGGCGCCGGCGGCCTGGCCCAGCGCCGAGGTGACCTTGCCCCTCTGCTTGGGGTCGGCGCCGAAGGTCATGAGCCAGTAGGCGTTGAACCCGTTGGCGAAGAACGGCTTGCCGTTCTGCACGAAGCGGGTGCCCTGGACCCTCACGAACGCATCCCCGCCGGCCTCCGCTGCTTGCCGGCCTCCATGGACGACGAACAGGAGCAAAAGCAGAGCAAGAGCTCCGCCGCAAAGCCTCATTTTTCTCTTGCTTTCTGTGGTTGCCTCGCCTCCCGCTTTGTTATTGGATGGCGGCAATGGTGGTGAGGTGGAGCGTGGGTGAAGAATGCAGCTATGGAAGGAGGATCCCAATTCCCGAGCCTCTATCTGAGGTTTAAATAGGCCACAGGTTTTGTTTCAGCGAGAACTTCTTGAGGTACTCCCTTCCTCGCTCCCTTAACGTCTGTCGTTTTCGTTTTCCGAGAAACAACTTAATTAAATATATATTAAAAAATATTAATATTTATGATATAATTAGTATTATTAGATAGATATTTGAATCTAGTTTTTTAATAAATTTATTTGGAGTTAGAAATATTGTACGTATTTTTTATAAATTGAGTCAAAGTTATCGACATGCAAATCGTGGCGACTAACATTTAGGACGGAGGGAGTAATCTTCATCGCTTGGAAACAGTCTCTGAACCAGGTAGGCCCACTTGTCAGTGGCACCACTATTTTAGCGAGCTGAGCGGGAGAAGACAGCATCGACTTTAGTTTTTATTTTTTAAAAAAACATCAACTTTGACCCTATTCGATTGAACTTATCAGCCATACTTTTTCAGTGAAATAACAGTATTTTTCTCTCACAACAAATCAAAATTAGCATCAGCATCAGCTGTTTTTCCAGCGGTGCTCGAAAGCAAAAGTTTTTTTTTTGAAGTCTGTGGAGTGTGGACCCCCCATGGGTGTTGGGAAACATGAAAATGAGGGGGGAGTTGGTATGGACGTATGGTGTACCGAGTTTCGTTTCATCTCGAGCCCAGCGACGGAGTAATAATGAACGACTCAATTAAGGCCATGTTTAGTTTCTAATTTTTTTTTCTCCTATAATAAAAAAGCATTTTGGACATATGCATGGAGAACTAAATGTAGACGAAAAAAACTAATTGCACAGTTCTCGGCAAAATCGCGAGACGAATCTTTTAAGCCTAATTAGTCTATAAAAAGCCTTAAGTGCTACAGTAACCAACATGTGCTAATAGCCGATTAATTAGTATCGTTAGATTCGTCTCGCAGTTTCCTAATGGGTTCTGTAATTTGTTTTTTTATTAGTATCCAAAAACCCCTTCCAACATCCTTCCGACACATTCAATATGACACCCAAAAAATTTATCCAACTAAACACACGCTAAGGCATTCCGCGGTCCCGCCGCTTGAGTACGTACTGCAATCGAAGTTCATTGCAATATTTTCGGACCTTCCGTCTTCGTGCAGTGGTCCATGGTGTACGCTGTTCTTGGTAGATTCACGTGCCCCTCTCTTTCTTTTTTTTTTCTGGCTACTAGTAGTTTCAAATCCAAGGTCTACATATATCTGTAAGTTTCTAACGTTTTGTGCTTAAGTAATGAAAAACATTACTCTATTGTACTTTATAGCGTGATGCACATTTCTTGAAGTTTTGCAAAAAAAAAAGACAATTATATTTATTCCATCTCTTGACTGTGAAAAACTTATATTGTGACATCCATTGCAAGTCCTAATTGTGTGACACTTCCTTATTGTAAGAGTGATGAACAAGGAGAAACACCGCACACATCCATTACATTCAGAAGGGGATAATATACATCAACCGGTCCTCAACCCACTAACAGCCGATCCTACAATTGAGACGTCGTGGGAGAGTGAGCGGTGGTGGCGTGGCTGTTACAACCGCTAAGACTAAGCCTAGCCTATACTTAGTTGCTAACACCCCCCACAGTCTGAGCTTCACCTGATCGAATGCGCAGACTGGTTCTGAAACTTTGGAACAACGGCGTAGGTAATCCTTTGGTCATGACATCAGCAATCTGATGTTCAGTTCGAATATGCAGAACCCGGAACTGACCAAGTGCGACCTTTTCCCTGACGAAGTGAATGTCCAACTCAACATGTTTGGCCCCGCGATGGTGTACTGGATTCCTCAGAGAGGTACACAGCCGAGACGTTGTCACAGTAGATGACCGTGGCCTTGTCGACATGGACGTGGAGCTCGCGAAGAAGATTGCGAAGCCAACAGCATTTAGCAGCTGCATTGGCCACTGCTCGGTACTCGGCCTCGGCGCTGGATCACGACACCGTCAGATGCCACTTGGATGACCAGGAGATGAGCGATTCGCCAAGAAAAACACAGTAGCCCGATGTGGATCGTCGTGTGTCGGGGCAGGCTGCCCAACCGGCGTCGGAGTAGGCTCTGAGGTCGGAGGAGGGCGATGCCGAGATGGTGATGCCGCTGTGGACCGTGCCGCAAAGGTACCGAAGTATCCGCTTCACAAGGTTCCAATGCGCAACCTGTGGTGAGTGCATATACAGACATGCCTGGTTCACAGCATAGGCGATGTCCGGGCGTGTCAGCGTCAGATATTGCAGTGCACCTGTGATGCCGTCACATCGGCCGCCGGATCACCATCACTTGCAGACAACTTTTGCTTGGCATCGACCAGCGTGGTAGCAGGCTTGCAGTTTGCCATGCCGGCACGATCAAGGATGTCTTCCATGCACTGAGCTTGCGTGGGGAAGAAGCTGGTGTCATCACGACGGACCTGGACGCCGAGGAAAAATCGGAGGGCGCCGAGGTCTTTGATGGCAAACTCTCGACGGAGTTCCTTGATGACACGCAGCAGCAGCTGTGTGTTTGACGCCGTCAAGATGATGTCGTCGACGTAGACGAGGAGGTAGGCCATGGCGATGCCGCGTCGGTAGACGAACAGTGACAAGTCGGAGCCGGTGCGGACAAATCCGGTGGAGCGGAGGTGCGCACCCAGCCGCTGAAACCATGCCCGCGGTGCCTGCTTGAGTCCATAGAGGAACTTGACGAGGAGGCAGACATGATCCGGCCGAGTGTCGTTGACGAAGCTCGCCGGCTGATGACAGTAGACGCGTTCCGCCAGATCACCATGGAGGAACGCGTTTTTGACGTCGAGCTGGTGGACTGGCCATCGGCGCGATGCAGCGAGGTGCAGCACGGTGCGGATGGTCGTCGGCTTGACCACCGGGGAGAAGGTATGATGAAAATCGATCCCCGGCCGTTGAGAGAAGCCGCGCACAACCTAGCGGGCCTTGCGGCGTTCCAGCGAGCCGTCGGGAACCGTGGAGTAGAGCTAGGAAACAACGCACGCGTCCACCTGCAAACATTCTGGATCATCGATCATGGCGGCCGCATCGACGGTGCCGTCGATGTGGTTGACAAGACCGAGCTTTTTGAAGGTAAGCTCGAAGAAGGATCTCCATTGGCGAAAATTCCCGTCGTCCGTGTTGAGGGTGACAGGGACGTGGCTACGGATATTAACGAGGACGATGGTGGAGGCCGAGGGAGGCACGGGTTCGGCGGGAGAGGCAAAACGGTTAGTGCCGGCGGAGGAGACCGAACCGGTGGGGCTCGCCATGGCCGAAGGCAGCGGAAGAAGAAGGAGAAGATCGAAGAAAGGCAGATACCATGTAAGAGTGATGAACTGGGAGAAACACCGCACGCATCCATTACATTCAGAAGGGGATAATATACATCAACCGATCCTCAACCCACTACCAGCCGATCCTACAATTGAGGCGTCGTGGGAGAGTGAGCGGTGGTGCCGTGGCTGTTACAACTGCTAAGACTAAGCCTAGCCTATACTTAGTTGCTAACACTTATGAGACAGGAGTGCTACTAAAGTCTAACACTGCACAACTATTCGTGTGCAATTTTCACGTTGGACATAGTTTCTATTGCGTCCAACATTTGTCATAATTGGTTTTCTTGCTTGCAAGAGATGATGAATGTAGTAGATTTGTTTCCTTTAGATAAAAAGCTGCATAGCCTTAGCGTAGTAACTTCCCTTATGATTGGCCATAATATGTCTACCGCTGCTATTCCTTATGGCCCTATTCGCTTCAACTTATCAGCCATGGTACAGTATTTTTCTCTCACAACAAATCAGTGAACAATACTTTTCAGTTTGCTTTTCAGCGAAGCAAAGAGGGCCTATTTCGTCAAGGTCAACAACTCATTGACCTCACACCTAGGTAGCTCTTCTCTTCTCATGTGACTTCTGCTCACTTGCTTAGTGTAAATTTAATCAAACATAACATACTTTTATTTTGATTCGACTAACGTGTATTCTTTTTGACAAAGGAATAACTGCGTTTCACTATTTTAAGTGCGGGCGATCATTGTAGTAGAAGCTACTACTACTAGCCAAGTGTACCCTTTAATCTTTTGCGAGGGCAGGCAAGTGTACTTCACCGTTTACCCCTAAACTAACCCAAGAATGCTGGATCATTGAGGAATTAAGAAGTTGTGAAAAGAAGTTTGGTCCTTGCCTCCGTGAGAAGCTTGGGATGCCTTTAATTTGTCCGGTCGTGTGGACAGTCACACTTTCATAGGATTTGTTTGGATAATGGCGTGGGATCTTTTTCTAGCCTAGGCAATAACACCAGACGTCTGTCTGTGGCTAGGGGATCATTTTTGCCTAGCAGGATGCTGACTAATCTAAAAACACCTTCATTGTATTCGATCATGTCTTAGAACCTGTTTAATTGGTTGCGGCCGCCTCTTCTGCCAAGCCACAGGGCAGCCCTTTAGTTGAGGCGGCAAAAATCAACACCACATGGTTATATGAAGGGAGAACAAACTAAAGTTATAACTTTGTATTTTTTTTGTAGCACATCAAACTTTACCTAACAATTAACAACAAGGGCCTCATTGGCAAGGTTATTATGGCTTAATGGAATAATGGCTACACTTTTTATTATTAAGCTGTTTCTCTCTCACCTCTTCCAAAACAACTAAGAATCAGGGAAGCCACTTCAAAAATGCTTCGTGGGCTTCTATATATGAGCCGTTTGTACAGCGCAGAAAGGTGGAGAAGCTGAAGCTTCCATGAGCTGTGTCAAAGAAGCTGAAGCTCTTGTTTTAGGGCCTGTTTGGTTCGCCCAATAACTATTAAATTTAGTAGCTTTTAGTCACTTTAGTAACTTTTTAACTAAACGCTATGACTAAAAGCTACTAAAAGGTTTTAGTTCTC